TGATCCCTAGTAGGGGTCATGCAGGAGGCAGCTGATCAATGATTCTCTCTCATCATTGATGTTTCTATGTCTCTCTCTTTTCCTCTCCGACATCAATAAAAATATATTTTAAAAAAACAACAGATCCAAATCCAGCCCTATCATTTACAAGCTGTGTGACCTCGAGCAACGGAGCTCACCTCTCTGAGCCACAGATTCCTGGCTGGAACCCAGGGATAATAGTAGGACTTGCGTGCACCGCTTGGGGCTGTGGGTTGAAGTGAGCAGTCCAGGTGGGGTGTTTAGCACCTAGGAAGTACTCAATAAAGGCCGCTGTTGGCATTGTAGTTCTCCATGTAGGGCCACATCCCTGAAAAGTCCCCAACCCGGGGCCGCTTTGACGCACCTTTGACATTGTCCGCCAGAGAGGGCCAGGACAGGAAGCCCTGGAAATCTCCACAGCCAGCCCTGGGTGCCCTGGGCAGCCTGGCCTCGCTTAGGAAATCACACATGCCAAGTGCAGACAGTGCCAGGCACTGGTCGAAGAGCTTTACATGGACTCTTCGCTCATTGGGCCCTACACCCCGGAGCAGCCGCTTCTCCCCTCCACGCCTCGTTTCTCTCACCTCTAAAAAGGGGGCACAGGGTTCTCAGATGATCCCCAGCCTCTCGGACGGCCCTGCTCCCGCCCGGCCGGCCAAGGTCCCCAGGAGGCGCTGACCTGGCAGCCCAGCCCGCCCATATCCATATCTGGGTTTCGCTCCCCCAGAGCTGCTGGCCAAGCCTGGTGAGGGAGGCATCTGCTGTGTAAGGTGTGGTCAGCCGGCAACCCCAGAGGAAGCCACGCGGGGCCTGGGGCTGGGGGAGCCACCTCCTGAGCCCCCTGCCCACGGACCTTGAGAGGCCTGGCCCGGGGAACTCAGACGGGAGAGGGAGAAAGCCAGAGGCCTGGGAAGGATTCCAGGCAACTAGAGCCCTGACCCTGGTCTACGGTGTGTGTGTATGTGTGTGTGTGTGTGTGTGTTTGTGTGTGTGTGTGTGTGTGTGTGTAGGGGCCACCGCCTTTTGCCCCTAAAGCACCCCAAATACAAATTAATAAAGTGTTGCCATTATTATTGTTCTTGTTTTATTTTGCTAGCAATGGTACCCTAATTCTAATATTTCAATAATTTGCTACGACCACACGTTATTTCCTCTATCTTACAAAAAAGCGTGAAGAACGCAGCTTCGGAAACGACATTTTTATGGACAAACCGTGCACCCCTCCTAGGCATCACCCAGACCTAACCCCAGCCTTGCTGCTGAGCAAATCCCTTCCCCGCTCTGGGCCCCGGGGCCCCACCCATGAGGGGGGGTGGGTAGGCTGATTTTTAGAGAAACGCTCCCGATTTCTCCAATTTTTTGAATTCCGAATGCTCCCAAGCTAGCAGCTGCTGGCAAACCTGCCTGTGAGGGCCGGTGGCCGTGGCGGGGAGCAGGATCCAGCCACGGACTCCAGGCAGGCCCTGGTCCCAAGCCCCCCGACCTTTGGTGTGCCTTCCCCAGGGGCTGCGGCGCAGGGCCTCCCCCCCCCCCACGTCTGCTGTCTGCTGCTCAGCGGGACCGCTGGTCCCTTGGGCCCCCCACCCCACCCCGGTCCCTTGGGCACCCCCAGGCACCCCCTGTGGTTTTTCGAGCCAGCACTTACCGGCCGTGCTCAGCGGAGCATGGACAGCTTCCTCGTGGGCCCAGAGCGGCTTCTCTGTTTTAGGGACCAGGACCCAGCCCACGCTGCAGGGCACTTGCTGTGGCAACCCCTGCCGTGGTCCTCCACCCGCCAACGCCCAACGGCCGTGTGTGAAAGAAGGAAGCGAGAATGTGGTTGCTCAGATAGGGCCACGTGATGGCCCACACCTCCTCGTTGTGACAGCTTGGGTGACACTGCTGATTGGACTGGGTGGCAGTGGGGCACAGGGGCCTGGGAGCCCGATGTCACTCCTGGGTTCTGGTAACCAGGCCAACACCAAGAACCACCTGGACACGTTCTGGGGCGCCATGGCCGAGGCACCCGAGCTGAGAAAGGCCACAGCATTAGCGGCAGTTGATGGAGAGTGGGGACGACAGGGGACCCGCCCTGGAAGGGAGGAACCAGATGCAAAGAAGGGTGGTGATGGCTACGGAGAGCCCAGCCTTCCTTTGTGGTGCAAACGCTCCCTGTGGGTGCATGCAGGTGGCCGGCTCAGCTGCAGCCAGAGCCCCTCTGAGGAGCTAGATTGCAAA